GAGGGTCTTTGCAAGACCGTTAGATTCTTACCTTTACTTACTTGGAGAAATGATCATCTTAGTACTTGTATATATATTTATCTTTCGTCTCTCCCTCCTCATCTAGTTTCACCCTTTTTTGCTTCCTCTGCTCCATCTCCCCATATTTGTCTAATGCTTGCATCCCGTAACAAGAGTTCTGAAATCAGTTAGACGAAGCAGTTAAACATCTGTTGCTGTTCAAGCATCCACGGCCATCTGCCACGGCTCATGTTATCTTCTCAGCTGTTGAATCTGCTCCGTTTCTTTTTACGGAAATGCTCAGTTCCTTGAAATGATGAAGCTCACCAAAGAGGAAATCTGAGGTTATGAAGAGGGCTTGCATTTCCTTTCTCAAGAATAAGGGTTAATTTCCTCCAGGGTTCAGAAGTAAGGTGACGACATGAAAAAGAAGACATGGATCACGTAGCTTTCACAGTTGTTCAGAAGAACGTGTACCAAAAAAGAGAGAGAAAGAGAGAAGAAACTTTTAGTGTAAGCTAAAGCAGAGCAGTTAAGCATCTGTTGCTGTTCAAGCCTCCACGGCCATCTGCCACGGCTCATGTTATCTTCTCAGCTGTTGAATCTGCTCCGTTTCTTTTTACGGAAATGCTCAGTTCCTTGAAATGATGAAGCTCACCAAAGAGGAAATCTGAGGTTATGAAGAGGGCTTGCATTTCCTTTCTCAAGAATAAGGGTTAATTTCCTCCAGGGTTCAGAAGTAAGGTGACGACATGAAAAAGAAGACATGGATCACGTAGCTTTCACAGTTGTTCAGAAGAACGTGTACCAAAAAAGAGAGAGAAAGAGAGAAGAAACTCTTTTAGCCTAAGCTAAACCTGCTGAGATTTCCTACTCTACACAATTATTAAACATACAGGAACCCTGTCCTCTTTTTCTCCTGGTCACCCTCTTCAGAACTGCAGAAGAAACACTTAATTAAAGCAAATCTTGACTACTGAAATGCACTATATGTGGAGCTACCCTTGAAGGTCTGAGATCTTCCCTTGGTGCAAAAGTAGCAGTTAATCTGCTAACTAGTACACAATATTGTGATTAGAAGGGACCCTGTGGATTATCAAGTCCAGCCCCTGTCAAGAAGATACAGCAGGGATTTGAACTCACAACCTCTGGCTCTACAGCCAGAGACCTAAACCTCTGAGCTCTCAAGAAGTTCTCTTTGAGCGATACCTTCTACAATCCCATGCTGGATGAGGAATTCCAGTTTAGCTCCAAAATAACATTTCTAGTCTCTGAGTAATAGGGACATTTTCAAAAGGTTGCCATGGCTACTTTGGGAGGAAGGAGACCTGCTCCGACATGTACAGTATTACTCCTCTCTCGATCCATGTTTCGTGACGTGAAAGCCGGTCAGTTACGAGAAACGTGATTGACAGAAGTTGCACGAGGAAATGAAGATATGGGAGCATTTCCTGCACTATTGATTCCTCGACATGTACAGTATTACTCCTCTCTCGATCTGTGTTTCGTACGAGAAACGTGACTGACAGAAGTTGCACGAGGAAATGAAGAAATGGGAGCATTTCCTGCAATATTGATTCCTTCTGGAGAAAACTGCCTTTGGCAAACATGAGGGCAAATACTTTACTGGAGGTAGGGACACTCATAAAAGAAAAGGTTTGCTTTCCAGCCCCCTTTCAACAGGTGTGGGGCTTGTCCTGTAACTGTGTACTTATGCCTTCCGATCACATGCCTCGCCAGGCGTAAAGCGTGCCTCTTCCTGTTTGCCTTCTGCCGGAGGCACCCACAGCACACTGTCAGGAATGATAGCGCAGCGCAAACCAGTGATCCAGGCAGAGGGCACCGCTTTGGGACTTAATGGCGTGGAAGCAGCTTCAGCTGGCAGGAATACAAGAAGAACAGTTCCTCCCATCTAGACTAAATGCCTTCTCTTAAAATAGACAATACTGTTTGTCCCCCCTTTTCAAAGCAGTTTCCAGAGTTTGGTCATCCAGAGGCAAAAAATCTGCCTGCAAAACCACTTCTTCAGGGACAGCTAAACAGAACATTCTTGCTCAGGTGCAAAGTCACCAACTAAAGCCATCCTATCCAGGCACTCTGTAATCAATTAATGATGCAATGCTGTAATTTTCTGAGAAGTTGCTCCCACTGAATTTATAAGGACATGCTCATAGGCTGGAAGACAGAGAATCAGTCAGGCTTTGCTTGACTAATTTATGGATACAGGTTGCTGTCCTAGTGGCTTCTAATTAAGGGCAGAAAGAGACAAGAAGGCAGCTTTACAATTAGAAAGTGATAAAATCTTTTTGCTCCAGAGGGTCATTCTTCCCACCTATGAGTTTGCACAATCAACATGCAAAACAAAAATAACCATGACAATAACAACAGTGGCGTTTACTGACAAATGACAAATCTTTTTGCTCCAGAGGGTCATTCTTCACACCTATAAGTTTGCACAATTAACATGCAAAATGACATTAACCATGACAACAACAGTGGTGTTTACCGACAAATGATCAATAAGCAAGTTAAGGTGAAGCTGCAAAACCATATTGGATGATAATCACACATTGTCCGTTTACTTCTGAAGGCAGCTCCACTTCTAGTTGTGAAGCTGTCCCTTTCTCTGTTTCTGTCTCAGCTTAAATACCCCCTACGCCACCAAATTATTTCTCTTTCCATAGATAGATGGGTGGGTTTGTTTGTTGTTTTGTTCTCCTGGGGAGGCACAAATTCAGTTTGCTGTCGTGGCAAAACAATCTTTGCTGTTGATTTCTAATACTTTCCCTTCCATCTCCTGGAACAGCAAGTCAAGAAGAGATATTATCACCCCAACGAAAGGCAATCTGAAGTCCTGCATGCTCAAAGTTTATAAGTTTAATGATGTTTGTATAAGCTGGGAGGTTTGTTTGCCTACTCAGTGGCAGGTATATATTTACTGGGAGGTAAAAGGGGGAAATAAAGCAACCAACAGCTGCAAGAGTTTTCTGGCACAAAAGGAGGAGGGAAGAGAAAAGAAGCGAAGGCCTTACAGTACATTTGGAGCTGAAAGAAAAGTTTGTTTACAGGAGGAGAATACTTTCCAGAAACTGGTCGTGTGTGGTGCTGAGAACGGATGTACAATCTAAACTTGTGTCTTTCTACAGAGAAGAAAATCGGTGGCAAACGGCTGAGTGGTTGCAAGATCAAAAGAGGCTGATTTTCTCATAATTTTTAGATAGTTCTGAAGAAGCGCACGCTGGCTAAAACGGGGTAGGAAATAGGACTGGCCAAACACTTTGTATCCTTGGATAAGGGCTGAACCCTCGGTATTCTGGAAGGTCCCAACACTGATCTTCCGGCTCCTTCTTAAACTTTTCTTTTTCTAGTGTTGGTACTTTAAGCAGCAGCTGGCAGATGTACTTGGACTTCAACTCCCAGAAATCCTAGCCAGCAGAGGTGGTGGTGAAGACTTCTGGGAGTTGTAGTCCAAGACCATCTGGAGGCTCAAGTTTGGAGACCACTGCTCTAGGGCATTACAAGTTGGCTGGAGAGCTCTGGAGACAGAGGTTGGGAGTTCAATTCCCCCCCCCCAAGGGTGAAATAGTGCCATTGAATGTCTGTCACACACACTGTGGCACCAGGTACACTGGAAGGAGCCACCAGGGAACCACACCTCCTCACATTTCTGGGTGTTGGCTCTTCACAACCACCCTGTGAGGAAGGCTAAACTGAGTAAGAGCAACAAGCCCAAAGTCACTCTGTCCGTTTTGTGGCCAGACGGGGACTTCATTGCCCCTCACCCGAGTCCTAGGCCAACACCCTCCTAATAATAATCATTGTGTGCCATTAAGTCAATTCTGACTTATGCTGTGCTGACTCTTCCCCGTGTTTTCCAGGCAGAGAAAATTCAAAAGTGGTTCTCGAGTCCCTTCTTCTAGAAGCGCTCTGGGACGAGGCGGCTTGCCCAAGGCTGGCTTTTCTCCTGGGAGGAACACCGAGGACGGAACCAAACTCCACAGAACTCGATTACATGGATAAAAATGACCCTGGGATTTTGTTTTGTTTTGAAAACAGCTCCACTACAGGCAGATATACAGTGACACCATTTGGGCAGTCCTTGTATCTTTGTGCCTAGAAGGATTTCCCCTCTTGCCCTTAATAATGACAAAGGTATTTCTTTCTTGATTAACCCATTAGTAGGTGCATAGTATTTTTACTGAGAGCAGGTCTCTGCCCCAGAGAGCCTCCAGTTTAAAAGGTATTGCGTGAGAGAGGGAAAAGGAAATAAATTGATGCCGGGAAAGCAGTGGTCCTGCAGTGAAATGTGCATAGGCACTGGTGATGCAGGAGAGCTTTCCCCACCCCCCAGGGGCAAATGACCCTCATGGCTGTGGATGATGGAAGTTGTGATTCAATACACATCCAGAGCTTGCACACTTTAGGACACCTGACATGGACCCAGTGCTTCGGATTGCTCAAGATTCATTGCACCTTAGCAATTCATATGCCCATCCCTACAGAGTGTCACCCTTATTTTGTAACTGGTGGCCCATACAGCCCCAAGAAAGGCCCCTTGGTGAGGGCGAGATTCTTGCCATAATGTTCTCACAGCTGATCAGAGACTAGCAAAGCTACTTTTCAAGACCAAATCTCCCACAGTCTTGCAGCCAGCAGGGTCAGGCTGCGTTGCTCCAGAAGCTGCAATCCAAGAGGTGGTTTGGCCGGTCCTTGCAACTTCCTGCCACTTGGCACAAGAACGGTGGCCGGCCTTTGCCCTTAAAATGGGGTCAAAGCCGAGGGCTGGGAAACAGGACGCCCTGGCTGAAGTACAGAGACGGGCACCCTGCACATAGCTGGGGCATCTTTTAAGGCTTCTTTGGCTGTAAGAAAAGGTGTGGCTTCTCGCAAGGAGGCACGGCTAAAGAGATAGGCTGGGATTTCCCCCCCTCCTTTCCCCTCCTTTTTCTGCTTTCTTTTTTTTTTTTCCAAATCCAAACAAACAGCAGCTTGAACTGGAATTTCATGCGCCCCTGTCCTTCTTTGTCGACTTCCCGGCAGGGGCGACAGCTCAACTTTTCCAAGACGTCCCATTCCTGAGCAAACCTGCCGGGGAAGTGGGGGAAGATTTTCCCCCCTCGGATTCCTGGCACACACATACACACACACCAGTGCGCAGAGGGCTCTTGCATTGCGCTGCCTTTGCGCCATCGCCTCGGGCTCTGCTGCGCCCAGCTGGTGTGAGCCGGGCTCCTCCCTCTTGGCTTGTCAGAGAGGCGAGGGGGAAAAGCGGCTGGAAGAGGAAACAATTGCTATCGGGGAGAGAAACGCTCAGTCCCAAACTGGGCGCATGGCTGGTGTCCGGCAGGTAAGCTGGCGGATGCGCTCCGTCCCTTTGGAGAGCCGTCATTAAGGAATGTTTCGGGGAGCGGGTGACCTGCCAACGCTTTGCTGGGCCCTCTCTCTCCTCCTCCCCTCCACAAAGGGGAGGTGGAACGCAGTGTTGGGTAGGTGCAGGGGAAGGCTCCCCGGATCCAGGTGTAGGATTTGGGGCCAGGAAGCACGCTGGAGAAAGACCCCCGTCTGTGGGTGTGTGAATTTCTAAAGCAGCAGAAAATCGGAGTGTGGGGATCATGCCACGGGGGTTGGGGGCTGGTGGGCTGGTTTGGGCAGGTGGGCGCACGTGTGTTCGGGGGTCCTCAGGCGATGGGAAAGCGGGGACGGCGGCTTTGGGGTGTCTGTGTGTGTATGGGTGGCCAACCTGGATGCTGCGTTCACCTTGACTGGACATTTGCTTTGCAGTGTATGGAGAGAGAAAAGTCTCAAGATCGATTGATTTGTTGGGGAAAAGGGCGTTTGTTTGTTTGTTTGTTTGGAAAAGCCCCACGCGTTTCGCCTCCGGATTATTCTGTGAGCTTTTTTTTCCAGGGGCGCTGAAGTCTCAGCACCCACCAGGTTTCCCACTCATCTGTTCCCAAGTTGGACTGTTAAGCCAAGGGGCCACAGAAGGAAGTAGGAGACAAAGGATCCGAGAAAACCTTTCAGGTGTCAAGGCTTTACAGCGTCTAAAAGGGACCAAGTGGGTCCAAACACTTTGGGCTGTTTCAATGAAGACACCTCCATTTTTAAAGGGTCCTACTCCATTTCTTCTGGCACTTTGGATTTAATATTTCCAGTTTCATTGGGTTTTGGTTGTGGCATGGGTATCACCTTTATTTAAGGGGGGGAATGCTTTAAAACCAGCTGGGATCTCTTCTGAAGGCGATGTGGGTGGGGGTAATCAGGCTTCCCTCTCTTCCAAAGAGAGAGCAGATCCAAATCTGTGTCTCTCTAGAAGAGGCCCCATGCTGCCCCCCAAGCCAGGTTGTCGAAGGAGGGGGGGAGAGAGAGATCACTATAATTTCCTGTGGTTTCTTTGGGGTAAGCCAGATCATATCTGTGCAGGAAGGTGGCCTGAGTGGGGGACGGTGCGCATAACACTGGGCTGTGTAATTAAACTTGTAAGTGCATGGAGGGCAATGGCCTTGTGAACTTGGTGGGTTTAATTACTGGGTAACTCAGAAAGCTGAGACCTCTGGCTGCCAGAGGTTGGGAGTTCAATTCCCCACTGGGCATCTCACGAGAGCCAGCCTGTGTGGCCTTGGGCAAGCTGGGCAGTTCCAGGGTGCCCCCAGGAGAAGGGAAGGGTCAACCATTTCTGAGTACTCTTTACCTGGAAAAACCTGAAAAGGGTCATCATAAGTCAAAATTGATTTGACAGGACACCATTATTAACCTTATGCACTAAGCCCTGCAGCTTGACGGGTTGATGTTAGTTTGTGATCGAGGATGCTTGTATATTTCCATTCGGTATGAATCTTATAAGATGTCCCCACAATTCACCCATAGGGGGAGGAATGGCAAGGTGTGAAACTTGGTGTGTTAAAATGATAGAGAGGATAAGGAAGAATCAGCCCTGAAAATGAACATGTTTTTTTAAAAACTGAGGCTTTGAATAAGAGTTTACTATAGCTGTTCCAAAACAATTAGACATCAAAGCAATGTCACTGAACCAAAACAGTTGCTGACAGCTGAACTGTTTATGTTATAATGCACTTGTTTATGTTACAATATGTAAACATGAAGTAGAGTTTATAAGTCCTGTAGTGCACTCTTTAGGTTATTATAATATTTGGAGTTCAGAATGGGCTACTGTTCCAGGATTCTAGGGTGACAATATTCTGGTAATCTAGTACAGCTATGATGGGACGTGGTGGCGCTGCGGGCTAAACTGCAGAAACCTGTGCTGCAGGGTCAGAAGACCAAGCAGTCGTAAGATCAAATCCACGCAACGGAGTGAGCGCCCGTCGCTTGTCCCAGCTCCCGCCAACCTAGCGGTTCGAAAGCATGCAAATGCGAGTAGATCAATAGGGACCACCTCGGTGGGAAGGTAACGGCGTTCTGTGTCTAAGTCGCACTGGCCATGTGACCACGGAAGATTGTCTTCAGACAAACGCTGGCTCTATGGCTTGGAAACGGGGATGAGCGCCGCCCCCTAGAGTCGGACACGACTGGACAAAAATTGTCAAGGGGTACCTTTACCTTTACCTTTACCTTTAGTACAGCTAACATTTTTTGGCCATGGCCAAAAACAAAATGTGAAAGCCATGTAGGCCCAATCAGGATTGTATAAATCACATAATGAACCTTATAAGGTCGTGTGTGAAGAATTGTTTCCAGTCTGTGGTTCCCTTCAAAGGTGGGGAATATGGCCCACGTTGAAAATAGCTGATCTAGATTTTTTTGTATTATAAGGTTCTAGTATTGCATAACCTTCGTGGTACAGAGTCTTATTCCTAGGGTCTGCAACATGCTAGTCAAAACAATAACTGGAAGAATTATATATATAAAGAGATAAGATGCATACACACACAAAGCATTCAGACATTCTGCTCATTAGCATTTCTGGCTACAACTTAAGTTTTATTATTTGGATTATTTCTCATTTGCAACTTTTCATAGTTGTAAGACTTTTGGATGGCCATTTGTTTTCAAAGCATTTGTACCTACCGATTTTCCATAGCTGTAAGACTTTTGTATTTTTACACATCTCTGAAGTATTTTTGTATATGTTCTACCTAAGCCACCTTGAGTTCTTTTTAAGGAGAAAAGCGGGATAAAAATGTTTTAAATAAATAAGTAAATACATAGACACATGTTTCATATGTACTAGATACTTATAAATAAAGTTTGTAGAATTAGACAAGCCACTGTTGCCTGCAATTGTTGCAACAATGTAAAGACGTATACTTTGATATCATTGTCAATAGTTGTTTGGTTTTATTTTGGAGTTAAATCTTTTCTTATGCCAGCTATGATGAGCACAGACTTGTGATTTTTTTCCCCTGGAAGACTATAAAGTTTCATCAGACTCTTGGGGAAAGTTCAGGTAATGCACATCCTGTTGCATTAAAAAAAAACTAGATCAGTTTTAATCTCTTGAAATATTGTATCCCATTTCTTCTACGGGAGCAATTTGTCAATCTGAAATTACTCCACCTCCAAGTTCATGAACTGGATTCCAGCCTTTCCCTAGCCATGGGGTGGGAGACCTTTGACCTTCAAGATATTCAAGATGATGGTTCTCCCAATCCAGTTCCTATGATTGCTGAGTCTTCTGGAAGTCAGAATCTAGAACATCTAGAGGGCCAAGGATTCTTTGCACAGCTGTGTTATTGCCCGAGGTTTCTGTGTGGTGCCCTGCAGTCGATTCTGCCCCTCCACAGCCAAATGTTCTCTGCAGAGCCCTAGCTTCTAGCCCCTCTGATTTTCAAGAAACAAGGTGGATGGATTGGTGGATGGATTGGCAAGGGGACAAGCCAAACGGCTAATGACCGGCCTTACAGGCTTGGCTGTAGCTTCAAGGAAATCTACGGATGGCGCAGTTCAGCTGCCTGCTGTGAAATATGCCATCATTCATTTATTTAATTTTTATGAGAAAGCTTTTGGCCCAAAGAGTGCCTAAAGTGATCCAAAGCAGTAATTCAAACCATATCCTGGAGTCATTACTTTTTTGTCTTTACATGTTGGTTGGGAGAATTCTGGGAGTGTTCATCCAAAATGTAAAGTTTCCAAAGTCTGAACAAAACACAACTTTAAATGCACATACTAATACAATAGAACCCCCTATCCTGGGATCAGTATCCGCTGATTCATTTATCTGCTGGCTGAACTGATCTGTTGTGGATACTGCTGTCCTAGTGTATGCACATGGACGCATGCACACACTCACACACACTCAGACATTCGGATGAAATCTAGCCGTGGAGGAGGGGTATATCTGAGTTAAATAAAATGGATGGGGAAATGGATTTGTGGATAACTCAGCGGTTTAGTTATCTGGCTGCAGAGTTAGAGGTTGGGAGTTTGATTTCCCCCCTGGCCCTCCTTGACCGGGGCTAGATTTGATGGTCCATTGGGTCCCTTCCAGCTCTGCAGTTCTAAAGATGATGGTGATGATTAAAAAGTCTTTACAAGCCACTTCAGTGCTGTTAAAGGGTGCGTGGACAGACCAGGTGAAGCTGGTCTGGAGAGGGAGTTCCGCGGTGTGAGTGCGTGACCAAAAAGACAAAATTAAAATGGGATGTAGATGGGGGATCAAAGTTCATGCAAGAGAAAGGTTGCTCCATTCCAAAGCTACTTGGCAAATAGGGTTGCCACTTTGACTTGCCAGCCTGGCTCCTGTGCTTATTGTAGAGAGAGAAGAATTCAGGAGGCAAAGTTTTTCCCCAACACTTGCGCTCCTGGGCATAAACCCACTTGCTGCTTCTAGCCAGAGCAGATCCACGGCACCAATTTGCTGAATAGCGAGACAACATTTACTTCAATCCCATAGATTCTGTAGGTATACTCTAGGTGGGAGTGCCACTCAGAACCTAGTCCATGATGGAAAGTAAAGCATACAAAGAAAACTCCACGTGGTCCTTGTTCAAAACCAGAAAACAAGGATGGCTGATCTGTTTATTGGACCTCCTAACATCTTGAAAAAGCTGGCTGGAGAGCAAAAACAGGCAGACTTTCAGACCCAATAGAATAACACTATTTTCTTCAAAACTATTGCCTGTTAAGACTTTGGTAAATATAGAACCTGGAAACTGTACTTTTCTGGGGCTACAGCCTCCAGATTTGAGGATTTTTTTTGGGGGGGGGGTTCTACTTTTGAAAAGTAACATTGTCAAGTTGAAAGCAGAGAAGCAAACTCAGAGAGAGAGAGAGAGAGATTTGTAGTGTGTCTTAAATCAGGCTGACAGCAGACCACAAGTCAGTTCCTGACTTGTTTTCTTGTCTAGGATCTGCAGAAATGATACGTGAAGCCACAGAAAGCCAGGG